ATCATCAATGAAAGTAACAAAATAAAATGTACCACTATGTGTTCTAACTTTTAAAGGACCACAAACATCCGAATGAATCAACTCCAAACCATTTTCTTTTCTAGAAGCAACATTTTTATGAAAAGAAACTCTATGTTGTTGCCCGTCAAGCAATGAACACAAGTTTTAAGATGTGTACCTTTCAAACCGGGTATAAGCACTTTCTTGAACAAAACTTGCAGTCCCTTTTCACTTATGTGCCTAAGCTGCTTGTGCCACAATTCGGTAGAAGTATTATCTTCAAGTGCATTGACAACACCTTTACAAATTTTTGTTTCATCGAATAAAGTGTATATGTTTTCTTGCACTTAGCCACTACTAAAGAACCTTGGTGAGCTTTCATATTCCATCACCAAATTTGTTATTGTATCCATCATTATCTAGCTTTTCGGTAGAGATCAAATTGAGGCGAATCTCTGGAACATGCCTCACATCTTTAAGCAACAACTTGCGGCCTAAATTTGTTTCTAAGTAAACATCACCCATGCCAATAATCTTGGACAAAACTTTATTACCTGTTCGAGCACAACTATTATCTCCTTTGGTATAGGTAGTGAAGAAATCAACTCGAGAAGTCACATGAAAGAAGCACCAAAATTGATCACCCAATTGCTTTATTGGCCCACAAAATTGACACAATCATCTTCACAAACAACCATGAGATCACCATCGGTAATAACCGCCGTTGTGTTTTTTTGCTTCTTATTCATACTTTTGTCACGCATTTTCTCCTTGTTTTTGAGCTTTTGGCATTCCCGTTTCATGTGCCCTTTCTCATGGCAATAATGGCACTCGATGTCTTTCTTTGAAAAATAACCATCTCTTGATTTGTCGCGGTTTTGATCACGATCATGAGGAGTCTTACTCCTCTCTCTTGTTTTGCTTCAGCCTCTCACAGCAAATGTCTCCAAATGAGAGGAACCCGTTAATTTTCTTCTAGTTTCTTCATTCAATAAGCTACTAGTGACTTGGGTCATTGTGATAACTCCATCAGGCGCCGAATTACTAACTGTCACAACCAAAGTCTCCCAACTTTCGGGCAAAGAACTAAGTAGCATCAAAGCCTGCAACTCATCATCAAAAATAATTTTCATAGAAGCAAGTTAGTTAACAATATTTTTTATTTCATTCAAATGTTTAGGAATAGGGCTGCCATCTTTATATTTTAAATTAATTAACTTATAAAACATAAAAGCTTTATTTGTGGTTGATTTTCTATCATAAAGACCTTCTAATTTTTTTCATAAATTATGTGCCGAAGTTTCAGTAACAACATGATGAAACACTTTGTCATCAATCCATTGAAGAATAACACCAACAGCTTTTTGATTAAGCCTCTTTCATACCTTTAGGTTTGTTCCTATCACCCTCAATGGGTCTATACAAAATAATAAGTCCTTCATTTTAGTTTTCTAAGTTACTCAATTGCTTCCATTGAAGCTAGACATACGGCTCACATTCCCCTCCATTGATTTACACAAATAAATAAACTCAAATAAACCGTAAGCTTTGATACTAGTTGTTTGGGAAAATAGATGATTTCCCATAAGTAAATCAATCAATGGGAATGAAAACTAATGTGAAAAAATTAAATCAACAACACAAATTTTTTTAGGTGGTTCCCTTAATATGAAGTACGTCCACGAAATTGAAATCTGATTACACTACTGACCAAAAAGTTTCTAAACGATTACAAACGAGACATGAATGGTCTTACAAACCACCTTTAGATGAATTCCAAATAATCATAAATAATCAAGAGGACAGACCTCATCAAATAGATGAACAAAAGATTTCGACACAAATTGTAAAAGACCCAAAATAATAACCCAAATTAATTTCACCAAACCAACGGAAGGTGCATCTAAATAGTGCTTTGAAGCAGCCATAAATGAAACAAAGAAATTTCCTAAGCTTGAACAAATCAAAGCAACAATAAATAGTGCCAAAGTGTTAGACAGAATCACTGCTATCAAAGTTAAATACACACTGGAGTACTAATGAGGAGGATGAATTAATTTGTAGCAGCCACCGCATATATAAAGAACAAAAACAATATATATAAATATATTTTTGATTCTTAGACCATTTTTTTTTATTTATCAAACCCTAGTTATCGCCAAATAGATTATTAAATATCTATTGGGCTTCCAAAAATTATATATGATATATTAAAAATATATTATAAACAACACTAAACTAAATTAAATATTTTTAATAAATCAATTGGGTCTCATACTCCACTAAGAAGGTATACCTAATAATTTTCCGTCTACCGACTTAGGTAGAGACATCAACCATACCCGCAAAAGTTCAACACTTTAAATATTTGTCCCTCGAAAAAGTCTTAGTCAACATATCCGAAATATTATCATCCGTGAGAACCTTTTCGAGTTGTAACAATTTCGAATCTAACACATCACGAATCCAGTGGTATCTCACATCAATGTGTTTCGATCTCGAATGAAAAGTAGAATTTTTACTCAAGTGAATAGCACTTTGACTATCACAATAAAGCACATACTTTTCTTGCTTCAAACCCAACTCTTGCAAAAATTTCTTCAACCATAAAGCGACGAAAAATTTTGGTCGCTAAATCGTTTCGGCGACTAAATAAGTGACTTTTGGCTACCAATATTTTGGTAGCTAAAAGTGACATTTCTTGTAGTGAAAGCTCTCCTTCTTGGCTACAACAATAATCTTGATGATTGAAAAACCCCTCTCTTTCCTTCATAAACCCACGGCTGCTAGGGCTGCTAGTGTTGTGGAAAACAATTATAACAAGAGTTAGGGTTTGTGTTTATTTTATTTTATACTAGTGGTGGGCACACTTAGGTCAAATAGATAGATAAATATACAAAATACATATATAAGTTACATGCAACTCAAATGGTAAGAGGTCTAGAGTTCAAGTCACACCCTCTTCTCCATTTTTTTTTTAATAATAAATTTATTTTAGGTTTAAAATTAATTAAAAGATCCTCCAATAATATTTAATTTGCACCTTAGAATTCACCACCAAAATATTTGAGATTGTAATATTATTATTGTTATTATTTAATTATTTACTGAATTTTTATATTTGGATTCTCACACCATCGTCTTCCACCACCTCAACAACGTCTTCCTCCAAGAAGACCAAGCGATTCGAAATCAAGAAGTGGAACGTCGTCGCTCCGTGGGCTTGGGATATTGATGTGGATAACTGTGCGATTTGCAGGAACCATATCATGGATCTCTGCATTGAGTGCCAAGCCAACCAAGCCAGTGCCACAAGCGAGGAATGTGCCGTCGCTTGGGGGGTTTGCAACCATGCACTCCTCAATGTTGTTAGGATATTACAAATCCAAATTTACAACCACCAGATAAGCAAAACAAGTATATTAAGGAAGATGTTCACCCACTAAAAAATAAACGCAATGATGTTCCTGGCAGAAGATCATGAAAATACATATTGCACTGATTTGCATATCCAATTTGGAATTCTTGGTTACAATATTACAATTATTATAAAGGATTTCCGGGATCAAAGTTTGCATAAAGAGAAAGCAAAATTTCTCTGGTGAGAAATTTCTCTGAACTTCTTAAAATTTCTCTGAACAAAGATGAAGGCTAAAGTTAGAAATTTATCTGGAAAGTCTAGAATTTCTTTGAAGAGTGAAGTGTAGAGAAATTTTCAGAATTTCTCTGTATTAAATTTTCTCTGAGTTGAACTTCTTAGAATTTCTCTGAATAAAGAAGATGATGAAGGCTTTAGAAATTTCTCTGGGAAGTCCAGATTAGAATTTCTCTGGACAAAGATGAAGGCTTAAATTAGAAATTTTTCTGGAAAGTTCAGAATTTCTCGAAGTCCAAAGAAATTTTCAAAATTTCTCTGGATCGAATTTTCTCTGAATCGATGTTAAGAGACCTTATACATTATAAAAATATTGAGGGTCCTTTATGCTATAAAATCTTGATGGGAGACACCTTAAAAAAAAAATCCCCTTTTATCTTTTATTCTTTTCTTTAGATTATTCCAAAACCTTGACCTAATAATTTCTTAGCATATAAAAATTAAAAAATTAAAATTATATATCTAGAAATTAATTGGGACGTAGTTCTTATTATTAGGAGAAGCTTCGCTTTATCTTTTGTAATTTGGGTCATGTGTAATTTATCTTCTAATTTTAGAAATAACTACATAACTCGCTTGTGATTTGTGGACTGAAATGTACCGTTAGACCCGTTAACAATTTAATGAAAAAGACTAAAATATCTCTGTATACAAGTAACTTAAATGTGTGAAGTATAGATATTTTCGTTATTTGTTTGGAAAATAAAGTACATTTTAACTCTGGTATTTTTTCATATATGATTCACTCTTTTAGAATTTAAAAATAAACATATAATCTGTGTATATCTGTCACATGTTTCATACTTAATATTAAATTAAATGTAATGTTTAACTGTGCAATTCTGTCACAAACCTCATATTTTTAAATGTTGGGGATAAACTGTATATGCCCAAATTATTTTTGTGTGTATTTGGTTTGAATTTTTTGAATTAAGTTACTTGAAAATTGAATTTTTCATTTTTCGTGTTTTTTTGTTTTGTTTTAGTGAATATTTTTAAAATTTTAAGTATTTTTTTTAGATGCACTTAACTTAAATGTATCTAAAAGTAAAAAATTTGTAAAAACATATTTAAAAAAATTAATAAATACATAAAAATACAAAAAATATATTAATTTTTCATATATTTTTTTATATTTTTAGTATTTAGTGAATTTAATTTAATTTTTTTTATAAAAATTATACTTTTTATGTGTATTTATATTAGGTATGTTTAAAAATTAAAAAAATTATTTAAAATATTAAAAAAATTTAATAAAAATAAAAAATACCAAAAATAAAAAAATAGAATTTTATAAAACGTGTCCAAAAACAAGCAAACAGGTCTTTAAATTGAAGTAAAACAACAGAACGTGCAGTGGACTCTGTAGAAGGAAACTCTGTGCGGCACTGCCCCCATTTTCCACAATCCTTTCACACAGACAAACAGCCCCTACAAACACTCTCTGCTATAGATCTTCCATCTTCCTCAAGCTCTTTCAAACCCCTCAAATCCTTGCACGGTACAAACAAAACTCAAGCAGATCTAGTTCTAAAGCACAACATCTCTTGGCTCTTGCTACAAATCATCGCAAATCCACAATCATATACACAGTCCTTTATCACCATGTATACACCAAAACCCACTTCAAGATTCATCTTTCTCACGCTAACCCTCCTCCTATTCCTGAGTCTTTCTCTCTCAGTCACTTCTTTTGTGGGTGACGAAGACTTGGAGGGTATTGAAGAATTAATGGCATTAGATGAACAAGTGGAATTGAAACAAGAATCAGAGGATGGTAAACCATCAGAGGCTGAGGTTTTGAGCAAAGCCCAGAGGATAGTCATTGAACTCGATAATGATAACACAGAGAGAGTCATTGATGCCAATGAATTCGTTCTTGTTCTGGGTTATGCACCCTGGTGTGCCAGGAGTGCTGAGCTTATGCCTCAGTTCGCTGAGGCTGCCACGGCTTTGAAGGAATTGGGAAGTCCATTGTTGTTTTCGAAGCTTGATGCCGAGCGGCACTCGAAGGCGGCTTCGACAATTGGGATCAAAGGGTTTCCCACTCTGCTTCTCTTTGTAAATGGCACTTCTCAATCTTACACTGGTGGATTTACCTCGTAAGGACTCGATATTGCTTGTATTTTGTATGTGATCACTATGTGTTTGTATTAATGTGCGAGTGTATATACTTATGCTTGTTCATGTGGGCATAATGCCATTTAGCTTGAATTTTGTATTGATTTGTTATTGTGGGTTGATTGTCAATTAGGGAAGAAATCGTGATCTGGGCGAGGAAGAAAACGGGGGAGCCTGTTATTAGAATTGGCTCAGTAGAAGGCGCAAAAGAGTTTCTTAAGAAGTATTCTATGTTCGTGGTCGGGCTGTTTGAGAAATTTGAGGTATGTGAATTCAAGTTGCCATGGGGAAATTTTGCTTAATTTGATAATATAAAGGAGATGCTGTAAGGTTGTAACTGGGGTTGAATCTCAAAATTTACTCTTGAATTGATAGCAGCCTAGTGTCCTGTATCACTGTTTGGTTCCATTGGATAGTTCTGCAAGATAGTTTTTGTAGACTTGTTGAGCACTAAATGATTGACAATTAGAGCATTCTTTCCACACAGATGTTCCGATTCATTTCATTGCTCTAAATTAAAACACAGATCTTTTAGGCTCAATTTATTATGTGACGGATCCAACAATCTTCCACAGCATGCATCACGTAGTGTGCACATGGTTTGTTATAATTACAATATATAAGCAGAGAGAAATGAGAAACGAAGTCACTAAATTGTGCGCTATGGCATCTTAGGTATGTAGGTATAAAGGTTAAGTATTGCTTCAATCTTTTTCTTTTTGTTATGAACTTTACCTCTTTTTCTTTCTTGAGGGTGGAGCAGTTTTGATACCAGATGTATAATTTGATAATTTATTTGGTACCTTGCAAGTAGCAGGAACTATATTCTAACCTTTCTTGGCTGATGCTGAAAAGAAATAATTTCTTTATGTACTTTTTTTTTTTTATTATTATAAAAAAAAGCCAATTAACCCCGTATTTTATTGTATTAATATTTTATTGATAAATTTGTATAAATATAAATGTAATTTTTTTAAAAAAAATTTATAAACATAATTATGTTAGAGACTGAGAGTTGTCACGACAAGATTCTTCCAAGAAGGTCCCAATTGTTTGCCTAGGCATTTCTAAGATGCCTTGCCTAGACTGGCTCTAACATATCTTATTAAGAATTTTCAACAACATAGCATTAGCCAAAAAATTTATTCTTCACCATTTATCTCTATTTAGGGCCATATCCTTTTTGAAATCATAGGTCATCATGTGTTGCTTCATCAACGCCCCTTTGTTTTTGGCCTTTCTTTTGTCTTTAGGTATAACTAAGAAGCAGTTGGAACGTAAATGAAACTTAATATAAAATTTCATTTCTTTGAAATATACTGAATTACTCATTGAAATGCTTCTCTGGGCAATTCAAGCAACTTTTTGTCTCGAAGAACTAATGAAAACCAAGTTATGAGGCAGGTAGTTGTTTGTACTCCCCAAGTGCATATATGGATTTTTGGAAAAATTTTAATCTGAACTTTTAATAGTAGCCATTAAAAAATTCTATGTACAAAATACTAAACCAGTCTAGATACATACCAATGATACCATTTGAATCGCACAAAGTAAAATTCTTGTGAGGTGAAGATTTGACGTGGTTTTCATTTAGTGACAAGTAGATTCACTTTGACATTTCAATCAAACAATTATAGAAAAGAACTACGAGTCATTTTTATTGAAATTTGATATGCCGATACTTCTAAAGTAGTAGACAATAAAACTGACATGTAGCTAACCTTACTGGTTGAAGACATGTTAACATCTGCTGCTTGATAAATTGTAACATACCCTGTATGTGTATTGAGTTCAGCTATGGAGCATTTTTCATTGAACTCCCTGCTCACAATGGTGATGGGTTCCACACCAAGTCATTGCGAGTAGGGAGTGAAAAATGCTGTGGTTTAGGTGGTCTCTAGAATTATTTTTTTTGATCGGAAGTCTCTAGAATTATTGATGTGTCTAGAATTATTGATGTGTGCTTGGCATCGTAGGCCTACAAATTAACAATTTAAGTAAGAAAAACTAATTTTCTACCACTTGTGTTTCACAAAGTTTTAGAATTATAATTTATTGGCATGTCCTGTCATCTTTTTGAAGAAGAAAGTATATTTTTTGTGCAGCTACAGCTGCACAGGGATTTCTTTCACTTCCAGCTTCTGTCTGTCTTCATAATTTGTTGTAGTCATTTCCCCAGTGTTTCAGACTACTATAATATATCATCATTGTTAAATACCAATTGTAAGTCAGATGTAATTTTTTTCTATTTGATGTTTGATTTTTTTACATGTATCAGGGGTTTGAGTACGAAGAATTTGTAAAAACAGCGACTTCTGATAATGAAATACAATTCGTTGCGACTTGCAGCATCGATGTTGCCAATGTTCTCTTCCCAGATATGAAACCTCATAATTTTTTCCTTGGTCTTGTTAAAAGTGAGCCAGAAAGATACACGGCATTTGGTAAGCACACTCTTGTTTTTCTGGCATCGCCATCCTGCAACTGTATGTACTTTATCTCACATAATTTCTCAATTCTTCCAAGTGATGTTTTTTGTTTTTTGTTTTTGTTTTTGTTTTTGTTTTTTGTGTCATGATCAACTCATTCAATATTTTAATACTATTGATTTTTGTTTTATTTAAAGCAAATATAATCAATGAAAAAATGTGTCTAAAATTCACATTTATAATTTACATTGTGTTTTTGGGTGGTTCCTGTTGCTCCTGGCTATTGTGTCAGTCTGTCAAGGGGTTAATTCATGTAATGGTTCTGCTTGCTTTTGCAGAAGGCACCTTCAAAATGGAGAAAATATTGCAGTTTCTGGACTATAACAAGTTTCCATTAGTCACCACAGTGACTGAACTGAATTCAGTCAGAGTTTATTCCAGTCCAATCAAACTCCAGGTTACTGTTATTTCTGAGTTATTTTTATTTTTGGGTCCTATTTTTCTGTACTCTTCATTTTATTAGAGATACCTTCTTTTTATTAATCAATTATCTGAGTTACTCTTAATAGTTTTTATGATTTCTTGGAATTCACTTTGCGAAATTATAATTTGAAGTTACTTACAAAAAAAAAAAATTAAAATTAAAATTTGAAGTTGTTGAGAAGAACAGTATGAAAGGTAAGACGTCAAATGAGATGGGACTTGCTAGCATGTAAGTTTGTCTGCGATTTCCATGTGTGCCAAAGACTTAAAAACATCTTAAATACATATCATTTTGTAGGCACAGAATAAAGTGAGTATTTTCTTAAATATGTTTTGTGCTTGTGAGGAGCTATGTAATGGTAGAGTTGTTAATTATTGCATGGTGCTGGCAAGGTGTTGCATATTCTATTTCTCAGATACTGAAAATATTATTTATATTTCAATCTTTACCCTTACAGAAACAACTGCTGATTATGGTTGGTTAGCCAAAGAAAAGAAAAAGTACTAAAAATGAAAATATAGAAAAGGGATAAAAATAGAACTACTGAGTGTAAACTATAGCTTCAAATTGTGGAGGGATTCTCTTTGATGTAAACCCCAACTATTTGGTGCTGGGTAGTGATTCCTTCCGAGCATTAATTCTTATCATCTGTTTGAGACATATACTCATTGACCTATGTTCAATATCTACCAGGTTTATGTATTTGCAGAGGCTGACGACTTCAAAAGCCTTCTTGAACCACTTCAAAATATTGCAAGAAAGTTCAAGTCAGAGGTTGAGTAACCAAATATTGCAGTACTGGAGTAATTCCTCTACTTTCACTAGTATAATAACTCGTAATGTTGTCTTCTGGTTGCAGATAATGTTTCTACATGTGGACATCAGAGAGGACAACCTCGCAAAACCCTTCCTGACTTTATTTGGGCTAGAAGAATCGGAAGATGCAGTTGTAAGTTTCTTGACAAGAAACTATTCTAGTGCTAGAAACTTCAGTTCTGAACTCATTTATTTCAGTTGCCACGTAATTATGTTTCCTCTGTTTGCTTGACAGGTAGCTGCTTTTGATAACAAAATCAGCTCAAAGTATCTGTTAGAGTCAGACCCAACACCAAGCAAAATGGAAGTAAGAATCTTATTTTAGTTGATTTTATTTTTTAAGAAATATCTACAGATGTAACTAAACTCTTCTTATAAATTGGCATTTGAAGGAGTTCTGCTCAGGGCTTCTGCATGGTACTCTGGCGCCATACTACAAATCACAGCCAATACCTGATAATGTGAGTATCTTGCTTATTGATTAAAGGATTATAGTACACTAGCTCAAATATTCCTAGTTAATTTCTTTCCATTTTCCAGCTGAGAGTCTGTCCAATATTTGTTAAATTCTTGGGTGTGAAAGCTCAGTCAATCAAATGAGTTTCAAATCTAATCAAAACACAAGTATATTATGTCAGTGCTTTTTGTTATTACTTTTTTAGGTAATATAGCTTCTTTATTAATTTAACTTATTTATCTATAAACTGCTTTAGTTTGCAAGGGTAGAAAATTTTAGAGCTTGTTTGGTTTGTTTTTGGGAGAGTTGTTTTTGAAAAAAATTTGAGAGAGTTGTTTTAGAAATTTTTTTGGTTTGTTTGATTGTATATTTTGAGAGAGAATTTTTTTGTGGGAGTTTGGGATGATTTGATATTTTGGAAGAATTGAGTAGATATGTGTGAGAGAAAAAGTGATTGAGAAGGAGAGAGGAGAGAGAAAAAGTGATTGATTGATGTGTAAGAGACAGAAGTGATTTTGAAAATTGTTTGAGAAAAATCTCAAACCAAACAAATTTTGGGAAATTTTTTTCTAAAATTCATCTCCCAAATTCAAACCAAACAAGCCCTTAGTTTCTTTATCAGTACTATTGGCTGTTTGTTTTCTGATTGATTTGTTAGCTTTAAGACAACTTTGGGCTTGTGACAAAAATTGCAGAAAGAGGATAGCATTCAGACCATTGTGGGAAAGACATTTGATGACTTGGTTCTAAGCAGTCCGAAGAACATTCTTTTGGAGGTTTGTATGACTTTGTATCAATTTTTTTGTTGTTCATTACTTGTCAGTATGTTACATGGACTCTTTAAAATAAATCAAATACCCGTGTTGAACACCTAACACTTTGACAAGGGTGTGGGATATGTTTTCATCAGACACTTCTTATATTTTGTATTTAACACTATCATTTTATATATATTGTTTTATAATTACTATAAAATGAGTAAAATGAAATTTTTACATTGGATAGTACATATGACACCATTTCATCTCACATAATATAAAAATATAATATTTTTTTTACCGAGTCTCTGTTTTCTTAAATTTGAGGTTTGATGGGTCTGATCGCTAAATACGCACTTGCACCCAACCTTCGTACCCAAGTCCATGAAACATAACTTCTAAGTTGATATTTTTTATCAAAACATTAGGATCACAGTTGTCAAATTGGGATACGGACCATGTATTTTTTTCCCCTGCTATTTTTCTAAATTGCGTATCATATCGTATCATGTGTTGTAAGTTTTTTTAACAACTTTAAAAATGAGTAGAAAAATGAATATTGTTATGGAAAAAACAAATATCTTTTGAGAATGAAACACTAAACAATGTATAATCCTTAGAATGGCAAGTTTTGAGAAATTATTTTTAGATAGGTTTTCGTTTGTCTTTACTTATTTGTTTTTCATATTTTAATAATTTTTCCTTACTTTTTAGATACATCAAGATTAGATGCATCTAACAAGTAAAAAAAAAAAAAAAAAACCAAAATATGAAAATAATTCACTAAAAACAAGCGAAAACCCGAACAAAAATACACGTTTTTATTTTTTTTGTAATTGTGTTTGTTTTTAGTAATTTTTAAAAATATTTTAGTTAATTTGTTTTACTTTTTAGATGCATTTTGATTAGATGCATCTAAAAAGTATAAAAAATAATTAAATTATCAAAAAAAATTCACTAAACATAAACGAGAATTCATCTGAAAACAGTTTTTGAAAAATCAAATCAAACATACACAAGGTTTGTTGAATTAAAGATATGCATCCATCAATACTCCATGTATATAAAGCTCAGAGTGGAATTAAAATATTTATAACAAAAGATATAGATAGCATTTGAGTATATTATCATATTCTTGAATTAAATTTACCCTCAGTTATTTATTTATTTATTATTATTATTTTGTGTATTATGTTTTTCGTATTGTTTTCACTCACCATTTAAGTTTTAATATTTGAGTTACAAATTTTAACTTCTCAAATAGCTTGTCTATATTAGAAAACTTTATGCTTTAACTGGTGTAAGTGGGCATAAATCAATAAGCACAAGAAGTAAGTGGGCATAAATCAGTAAGCACAATATACATCATACCATACAAGTAGATGTTTGTCAAAAAGGTAGACAAAATATAAGAAAAAACATCATTCTCATCTCAAAACATTATTTTTTAATAATTAAATGAAAATTTCTAACAATATTAATTTCTATAAGACAAGTTTAATTACTATTTCCAAAATTGCTAAAGGATTTAAGTATTCATTTATCGTATGTAGCACATCATGTACAGTATCATATATCGCATCATATATCCTATATGTATTGTAAGATACATTTAACTTAAGACATGTTTTGACGATATGTATCAATTTGCTTATGAAAATATTGAATTGTAAGAGACATATTGTGAATTGGAAGATACTGACTACTCTGATTAGGATGATGTGAAAGGAGTTTATTTTTGCTTTACAGTCGGGCAATATTGAAGTATATGTCTTGTATGAAATGAACGAGACTGACGTAGTTAGTTTACGTGCCTAAAATTGAATACCCTGCATTAAATAACTTTTGAACTCATTCTTGCTAATTGGTTTGAGTTGGTGGCCTTATAGACAACTTGTCATAATACTTATGCATCCTAAAATTTCCATAATCTTGCTTAGTGATATTAATTCCACTACTCTTTTTCTTGCAACATTTTTATTTGATTGTTCTAATTTTGATCATGTTTAAGGTACACACACCATGGTGCATCACTTGTGAAACCACAAGCAAGCAGGTAGAGAAGTTAGCAAAACATTTCAAAGGATTGGATAATTTAATATTTGCAAGGATAGATGCTTCTGCAAATGAACATCCAAAACTGCAGGTCAGTATTTTCATAACTTAATGGAAATTATATAACATTGTTTCTCTATAGGTAGTATTTTGCAAAAAATTACTAGTTAAATTGAATGAAGTGGATACTGATGAATCAATGGATGTGGAGATGCATGCTGAAGTAACTTTATTACAAATTGGTTTCAGAACATTGGAGGACTTAATATCATTTAGAACAGAATTTTCCCTTTCCTCCTAAGGAGTAGAGCTTATTTATTTTAAAACTACCTAGCTAATGTTTGATTGAAAAGGTAACCCTTTCAATCTTTGTCTAAAGAACCATGGAAAATACATCTCTTCAACCCCCACATCTCCCAATTCACAAAATTCATTGCCCAACTTTCATATTTTAAGGCACAGCGGTTCCCATGTTCTCTTTTTCTCAGATTAGCTCCTGCACCCAAATCTTCCTATAGCCAATTTACCCATGAGCCAAGGTTCCGTCATAAAACAAACTTGGATCCAATATATTTTTTCAACAATGATTCATCCCCCCTTTTTCCCCCACCCCCTTTGACCCCCTCTCTCTCTCATTGGTTACATTTTCTTTTTCTTTTTCTTTTTTTTCCTGCTCCTCCAATCACCACCTGCCACGTGGCAAAGGGGGTGAGGGGGTGACCCCCAAAAGGGGGTCCCAAGCATTATTCATATTTTTTATTTATTTAACATTTCATAACAGCCCCAGCTTTACACTTTTTTCCTGCTAATACCCTAATATCTTTTACAATTTTCCTCAATACGACATAAATCAAGACTGACATTAGGTGTGTTCAAATAATAATTAAAGCAGATATTCTATAAAATCTAAATTGCATACAACTTTTCACCTAGCTTCTTACTTCGTGTTAGGTAGAAACATATTAGATGCGCTAGTTTATGTATAATTAGATAATTTTATTATTATCTGATCCAATGGTACTATCGAGAATTCAATTGTTGTGACGTTGAAAATTGGAGCAATCAAGAAGTCTACTTCCAATTTTTAAAAATACTTAAAAAATAAAAGCCAAATTATTTAGTAGAGAGGATTTAGTTAATAAATATAATTTCAAGGTGGCCTTAAAATGATGCCTTCTTTCATGTAATTTTCTTAATTTTTGTAGTTAGAAATACTTATTTTTATGCTGACCACTATTGCCAAAGCACTTTTGGGTAGGTGGTCCATATAGGGGAAATTTTTATAATGCTTTGAATTGTTTTTGCGTGCTCTAGACTTGCCAAAATTGCTTTGGTAATTGGCGGTCAACCTTATTTTTTAACTTTTATTGTATGAGAGAATGGAATTCTTAGAGAATTTACTTTTAGGGAAGATTTTGAAAAAAAAAAAAAAAATTTGTGGGGAGGGGAATTTGTTAAGATTCAAGAATGATGTGGGAACAAAATAAACTTGCATAATTGCTCAGTGAAACATGATGAAATTGCTTCAATCACAAAAGTTTATAGGGCAATTTTAAGATCACTATCACTTTATTTATTTTTATTGTCACTGCATGTCTCGTGGAACATGTTTTAGATCTAATTTTCACAGATCAATTTTAACACCCAGAAGTTAATAAGCATGGATACTTCTAAAAAGGTGACTTGGCCATGTCACACGTCCAAATGTGTTGTTATATTTAAAACTTTTTTAGACCCACTTGAGGGGGCACAGGTTTATCACTTAGACACACGTAATTCATTACAAATTTTAGCAAAATAACTTCGAGGATGTAAAGGTAAAAGAACAACAATTTAGATTTATACCTATTATGGAAGATCATGTTCATGGTGGCCTTAGATTGCTCAGGATTTACCGGAAGGAGTGTTATTAAAGGCAATAGGCACATTGAAGCACCAAGGTTCCTCAGGGCCTAGGCGCAAGGCGAGGCGCATGCTTCATTGAAGCGAGGCTCATGCTGATGATAAAAAATAGATAAATGATTTATATGAAAACAATTCAGGGTTCCAACATTAGTAATATTAAATATTTTACAACATAAATACCAACCAACAAAAATATTTTGTCATAGACAAATAATTCAAGGTTGCACATAAACTAGGAAACATGGATATGGATACAAGATACAAACATGATACGATACAATACGATATGGTGTTACGACAAAACCGAAAAAAATAGGATATCTGTATGGTTAGGATACGTTTATGAAAAATATATATTTTAAAATTATTAGTAGTGAGTTACACGTAAGCTAAAAAATGCTAAGAAACCACAATGTAATTTTATAATGCAAAATAGTAATATTTAAGAATTAGCTATTAACTTAAGCTAGTAGCTTAAATTTTCAATAGGTCTTAAAAATAAATCATTCCAATATCAAGTCTAATATGTTTATATTACAATAATAGAACAATTCACAACTTATCCCTATGCTTTTTCCTTTGGCACTAGTAAAAAATGTTGTATTCAAGTTTACTTTCTTATTTATTTAATATTATTATATTCTCTTGTTAATCTTTACTTTCTATGTATTTATAAGGGACACACATGAAACAATTAGGATATATCAATTTGACAAATTCTATTATTCAACTCACTGTGTTCTTTATATCAAAGAATTAAACAAAGTATTAGAAAATATTCTTATATTTATCTTTTCAATTATATTACATTATAATACTATGTAAGAAATGTTACAATTTTAATATCATAAAACAATAATACGTGACTTGGAGTATCCGATATTTCAAAATTAAGTATTCGATACTCCAAATTTAATGAAAAATTAATTAAGAAGTATCCGATACTTTTAATAAGTATCTGATACGTATTTGCGAATATCCAAGGAGTATCGGTATCCGGTATAAATACAATATGGATACGTTACCCTATTTGAAGTATCCGTGCTTCATAGCACATAAATGCAATAATCTAACTCATAAATTATAAACATTTGAAAATAGCTACAAAATCGAAGTGTCTTATAAGATGAGCATAGAGTAGGAGATGAAGCAGAAGAATGATGACAATTGTTAGTGTGGTTGAAGAGAAAGATCTATCCAACCAATGCCTTTGTATAATTAGGGCCCAAAAAGTATTGGGTTACAATGTATGTTTAAGGGTTTAATCCCTTGTAGCAACATGCAAACAAAAAAACAATGAGATTAAGTAAAATCAAGGGCAGTAATTGTAATAAACAAATATTAAAAAAAAAATGCACAATTCGTGCGCCTTAAGCCTAAGCTCAAAGCGCACGCTTCATGCACTTTTATGGGATCTGTTTCACATCACCTGGTTTGAGATGTTCGGAAGTGCATTGATTGCACTTTGATGAGCCTTGGGCCTAGGTGCACGCTCAGGTGAGCCTTTAATAACATTGACTGGGAGTGGAAGAGGAGAGTGAGAATATGGTATTATGTAATTATGGTATTATGTATCAATTAGGCAGGTTGATATTCGATTGATTGTATAGTATTATTTCCTATTATAGATTAGGTTTAGGATTACTATAAATATTGGTTATAATCTTTGTATTCTACAAGTTGAATATACAGAAAGCTATTTAAAAATCTTACATGGTATCAGAGCAGTGCTTGAAAACCTAATCAGCCTCCGAAGTCGAGCTCACTATCAACCTTTGATTTCACTGAAATCGTGACCTACCTATCGAAATCACGATTCATCTCTTCTGGTGAAGTCCCTCGTTCGTATTTTTGCTCCAACTCTCAGCCTGAATCGCGATCCATCGCGACCCGTCTGCCTCTGCATCGTGACCCATCTGGTGTCTGATTCTGGTTTGCTGATCTTCTCTTTCACCGAAGGACACCTCTCTGATGTGGTTCGCCTTTTATCTCTAGTCGACTTGGTTGGGTGACCCATCTGGTCGACCCATCTGATCGATGTGGTTAGTTGTGCTTCGACTCCTCTCAGCTAAGACTTCTCTCTGGTTCTGCTTTAGTTCTCTGGTGTACTTCTGATTTGCTTTGATTGTATTTGATCCATTGAGTCTTTGGTACTATAATTAGTTTGTTACAGTTGACCACTCAGTTATCTGTTATTGCATTTTGACCCTACAAAATTTTGTTTATTACACTTGAACCCCTGGTTTGCCTATATTGTTTTATTCTGGGTTTATTACACTTGAACCCCTCAGTTTTCTAATTATTATGATGTCTCTGGATGAATGTGCCTCCTGCTATCAAAGGGGTCATTGGAAGTACCATTGTCCCAAGAATGGATGTTTGTCTGCTTTGTGTTCTCAGCAGTTTTTAATCCAGTTCTGCGCCTCCCCTCTAAGTACTGTTCGGCCTTTCGCTGGTTTTACTGCATTTGCTCCGGCTTTTGATCCTGACTTGGCTTCCTTAAGTGCTAAGATTAGCTAGCTTCAACATATGTTGTCTACCTCCCAACCATCCCCATCTGCCTCTATTGTTTCTTCTCCTCATTCAGGTTTGCTTGGGTCTTCTTCAGGTATTTCTTCGTTTGTCCAGATTTTTGACTCTGGTGCCTCTCATCATATGACTCCCCATCTCTCCTTATTTCAAAATTGTACTCCCCCTCCCTTTCCTATTACCGTTAATGCTGCTAATAGGTCTAGTATGTCTGTTATATCTGTTGGGTCTGTTTTACTGTCTGCTATGTCTGTCTCTATTCCGTCTGTCATTTATGTTCCTTAGCTATCTGTTAGTTTATTATCTATCAATCAGCTTGATGCCTCTGGTTTTGATGTTATCTTTTTTTCTTCTATCTGTTCTGTGCAGAAGCGCAGATTGGGACTAGCCGTAAAGTTGGTGACCTCTATGTGGTGAAGAGCTTGCTTCTTTCTATGGCAACCTCTCCGACTGCCTTTTCATCTTTTCAATTAGATTCTCTGTCAAGTCCTTTCTACTTGTAGCATTCTAGATTGGGGCATTTGTTTGCTGATCACTTACGGTCTTTAGCTTAGTCTGGTATGTTGGGTAAAGTTTTTTTTAGTGAACTTACTAAATGTCGAGGGTGTAAACTTGCCAAAATGACAGCCTTACCTTTTCATAAAAGTACTTCTATAT